ACTTCCTTCATCCAGTTATTTAAACCAAAGATTGTGGAGTCACCAATGACTTTTCTTTCTCCCACTCTATATCCAGTCCATCAGCACATTTTGTTGGGTCTCCCATCAAATTATATTTCCAGTCTAACCACTGCTCCCCAAGAAGCAGGCTCTTCTCCAGGACCCATCACCTCTGAATGAATCAGTCATTGCCGAGGCCTCATCACTAGTCTTCCTCCTCGTAACCATGTACCTCTACAACGCCCAAGGTATTCCTTTTAAAATGTCAAGCCCTTTTTCTTCTAGGAAGCTTCCATGGGCATATCATCTTCCTCACAATAAAACATGCCATCCTTACAAAAGTCACACAAGATCTGCCTTTTCACCACCAGTACACACACACACCCCTCTTTCCAGCTTCCTGACCTCTTCCCCTGATTTACTCTCCAGTTTCTGTACCATCCAGGCATACTCTGTCCTCAGAGCCTTGGTGTTCCCTCTTCCCCCTGCCCAAAATGCTCTTTCCTGTGGCTTGTCCTTCACTCAGGTCTCAGTGTAAAGCCCACCTTGTTACCTACCACGGCCTTCCCTGACTGCCATATCTAAAATAGCACCCCATGGCCCTTTGGATGTTTATTTCTCCTCATAACATCATCACCACCTGACACATGTTTGTTTGTTTGTTTGTTGTCTTCTCCATGGAGATAGGGGCTCTGTGAAAGCAAGGTCCTTTCCCTCAAGGGCTTCAAGCATTGCCAGATACAGAGTTCAGTATTGCCTGATTGGATTATTCTGTGGGATTCTGCTCAGTTATCAATTCTGTGTGCCCTTAGGGCAGAAGTTCAGTAATTCTGCTGAGTATCAGAATCACCGAGGAGCTTGCCCAAAATATACATGCCCTGACGCTGCTTCCTAGAGATCCAAATTCTGGGGTGGAACTTAGAACATTTTTTAACACACTCCCCACATGATTTTGATGCATGGGATAAACAGACCACACTTTGCCAAAGACTGTCTCATTGTACCAGTTTGTATTTATCTGTTGCTCTGCCTTGCTGAGTGTTGTGTTATGTATATCGGCAGTTTTTGAATCACCTTGGAACCTAAATGTAGATGCCCTTGCCGCACCCCAGATCTCGTGAATCAGAGCTTCCAGGGAGGGGTCTTGGGAATCTCCATTTTCAAAAGACTCGTTCTATGCCTCTGATGCAGCCAGTCTTCCCACTGGCCTGCGGGAGCCCCTCCTATGCTTTATAGACTGCATGAGGAGGTTGGAAGTTCAAGAGCAGGTGTTTTCTCTGCCATTTTAGGCCAACTTCTCTCCCTATCTCCCACTAATCCAACAGTGTTCTGTTCAAAACCAGTTTTCAGTGAGTCACTGTGGGGTGGCTCCTTGGTTTATCCACAGTTTCAATGTGCTTTTGGGACTTAAACATTGCCCAGTATTTCTTTTTTCTTTTTCCTTCTTTTTTTTTTTTTTTTTAAGACAAAGTCTTACTCTGTCACCTAGGCTGGAATGCAGTGCCACAGTCATGGCTTACTGCAGCCTTGACCTCCTGGGCTCAAGTGATCGTCCCACCTCAGCCTGCTGAGTAGCTGGGACTCTAAGTGCGCACCACCACGCCTGGCTAATTTTTTGTAGAGATGAGGTCTCACTATGTTGCCTAGGCTTGAACTCCTGAGCTCAAGCTATCCTCCCACCTTGGCCTTCCAAAGTGCTGGGATTACAAGCGTGAACCACTGCACCCAGCCCAGTATTTCTAACTGCATCTCAAATCAGCCTGTTCTTTGATTAGAGGCAAGAAGGATATCTTAGTCACCTAGCTCATCCTGGTGAGGACTCTCTTTGCAGTCCTTTCTATCCTGGAATTTAAAATGTGTTTCCCAGGTCAGCCCATACAGGAATACGGTAATATCACCCATCATCATACTCAAACATTCATCTGTTCAGCCTTCCCCTTGGTTCTGTACTGGGACATGAGTGTTGACTGTCTTCATCCTTGGGGTGGTGGTCTCCAGAATACCCCCAAAGATGGAGAAAAGTCCTGATCCCTTGCCCTGTGGCCTGCGTAGGCTGCTTAGGTTGTTTGAAGGAGGGTATCTCCCTAGAGGCCAGGGCTTTGCCCTATTTCTGTTTGGTTTTGCCCTGGAACTATGTACTGACATTCTTTATAGAGAGAAACTTTTGAATCAAAACTCTTCAAAGTGTAACCTAAAAGTAAAACAAAATAGGAGGTAGAGTGGGGATGAGGCAGATGGCTGGGAAGGAGTATACCAAGGAATGATATTTGTGGAATATCTGAGTCCATGGGGACTCAGAATGTCCTCATTCTGGACTTTGGATGGCCAACTCTTTGGTAGCCTCTTTGAGTATGTTGGGTTTATCTTCATTCTTTACAAGAGCTGATGGGATCATTATTCATGGCAGAATCTGAAAAGTAGTAGGGTCGTCCCGTAAGCCCAGAAGGCACTTGCAACCCCTCTTAGCACACATTATATATCTGTATCTTGGCGTTGTGCCTCCGGATAAGCCTCAGATTGCATTTTGATGCCAGATGTGAGAAGCCATTAGTAATCAGGACGACTCCCTTTAGGAAATCCTGTTCCCAGGTGATAGCTGCTTCCTAAGGAATACTTGTTTGGGGGCAGGGGAGAGTGGCACTGGAGGCTTTGATTTAGAGACAAAGGGGAGTGAATTGACCCTAGAAATGTTAGAGTAAGAGATTTCTAATGAGACCTGACAGCTCAGGGGCTGAAGAGGGAGTCTAATCTTTTTTTTCCTGCCCACCCAGTCTTCATACAAATGTAAATATGCCTCCTTCAACAAATTGCCAAATGTGGTTTTAATTTGTAAGCAGGAGACCCCGCCTTGCCTTTCTCTTTCTTTTTCTTTTCTTTTCTTCTCTTTTTTCTTTCTTTCTTTTTTTTTTTTTTAAATGAAAACTAAGTCACAGATTTTACACTTTTTGAACAGGACATTTCCTCCTGTCACTCTGTCACCTTTTCTGTTGTCCCGTTTCTTCCAAGGACATTTTCCCTCATTGTTGTCAGAGGAATTTGGGATGAGAGCCGACTGCTCTGCTTCTTAAAGGAGTTTTTGAAGTTCCCAAAGGAAATGCATAGTGCTCTTTAAACTGAATTTATAAAATAAATAAATAAAGGCAGTGATTGAATTTAATACGAGATTTGAAGAGAGTGTCACTATCGCAGCATAATACTTTATGTGGCATATGCAGTATTCATTGTTGTTATTTATGACCCTGTCTGCCTTGCATTGTGGATTTCTTCCAGCCTTGGGGAATTTACATCATTCCTAATAGCAAAAGGCTTTCTGGTTCCCACAGAGTTGTTCAAAGCCTGACTCATGCTCCTTATGTTAATTGTTCAGCTCTGAAAATACAGCACTTACAGGGTGTGGTTGTAAGGGGAGATTCTACTGTACTTATAGGGCATGTTTAGAAGTGTTTCACACATAAATCTCGATTCCTCTCTCTCTCTCTCTCTCTCTCTCATTTGAATTTTAAGATGTCACTCATTTTGGCCAACTAGTAAGTCTTAGAAAACAAACCAAAAAAAAGGGAGTATAATCCAGTAAAACATAGAATATTCTGTTCACTAGCTTAAAACTCACTTGGGTTATAACCAGATATGACTTTGAATGACACTGGCCCAGGTCTGAGATGGATAGGCACAACTGAAGAGCATGGAGAGCCCATCCTCAGTGGTGCAGGGCAGTGATTAGGCAAAGCACATCCCCTCAGCCTGTAGGGTAACCAGGCGTGGTACTCATGGCTGCCACCCACCAGGTGCTCTGGGGCTGTCACTGCTAATTCCAGTGTCGTTCTAAAGCAAGGACCTAATGACAGTTTACTAAAGCTGTTTCTGGTGGTAGCAACATTTTATTGGAATTTGATGGGGAAGAATACTTAGTGTCTCAGAAAATGAGAGGAGTTAATACTCGTCTGGATTATGTACTCGATAACCAAAAGGAGAAGAGATTCCAAAACTATGAAATGGGTTAATGTTGGCAAGGTAGGTAGGCTTTTACATTTTATAATTACTTCCTTATGATGCTTCCATGGGAACACAAAAGGCTAGATAGGCAGATAATCTATGAATTATATAAAACCAGAGTGGTGGTTAGTATAAGGAAAAAAGTCCCGAATTTTTTAGTAGCCAAGAATCACAAACTCCAGTTTTCAAAATACCAATATTAAAATATTTGACTATTGCTACGGTCTTGGGTGTTACAACTTTTTTTTTTTTTTTTTTTTTTTAGACGGAGTCTCACCCTGTCACCCAGGCTGGAGTTCAGTGGCGCCATCTCAGCTCACTGCAAGCTCCGCCTCCTGGGTTCATGCCATTCTCCTGCCTCAGCCTCCTGAGTAGCTGGGAGTACAGGTGCCCACCATCACGCCTGGATAATTTTTTTTTTTTGTATTTTTAGTAGAGACGGGGTTTCACCATGTTAGCCAGGATGGTCTCGATCTCCTGACCTCGTGATCCGCCCACCTCAGCCTCCCAAAGTGCTGGGATAACAGGCATGAGCCACCGCGCCCGGCCACAAAATATTCTTTATTTTTGCAGATAGAGAAAATATGGGGAATTCTTAGGATGGTAAGGGTGTAGACCACTGTGTCACCAGGTCTTGCTGGAAGAACGGAGCTCACAGGCACGCTGCCCCACACAGTAGGATTCTGGGGCTTTTGTCACAGCCTGGGCCTCACAGTTACCAGATATTGGCCAAGACTTCCCAGATGGTTTGGAATCAGCATTCTTTGCCTTACAGTTTTGTATGTTTATGGCACATATTAATGTTTGAAATGTAGACTGGGAGTCCAAAAGAAGTTACAATTAACCATAAAGTTCTAGGTAAAAAAGGTTAAAATAGCTTACCACTGAGCAGTTTCATTCAGTCTTTACAAAAATAAATGTGTTCATTGGGCATTCAGAGTGTAACTGTTTTCTCTCATGTTCAGCTAATAGATTTCTGGTTGAACCTTTGTTATCTTTTGGAGTAGACAGAAAGAGTTCTCCATGGAGTGTCTGATTACTTTGCTGAGTGTGCAGAGAGTTCACTTCCTCCCAGTGCAAAGCTCCGGAGAAATGCTCTGAAAGAAATGTAGGTGCAATGTGTTTCCTTTTTCTCATTTGTGACTGCCTCTATGTATGGATAGATAACATGAAGTCCAGAATTAAACAGAGTGCCTGGAACTGAAGCACAAACTCCCCTCCATCATGTACTTGCTCTCCCCTCCCTCCTGACTCTCTTGCTTTCTGGACAATAGGGATAGAGTCCTTGCTTCACAGGTGTGTTGCAAGGAGTAATTAATGACACGTTCTTTGAAGATGAAAAGCACCTGTTGGTGGTGTGTTTCATACCACTTTCAGAGGGACTACAGACAGATCTAAAAAATACATTCCTTTCCTAAGATCCTTGTTCCGACTTTAATATAATTACAATAATCCTCATACTCCTGGTGTCAACAGTAAGAACATGAGTATTATATGTATTTGTTTTCACACTGAAGCTAGCCAAAATAAATATTTCAGCTTTCAATGTTTTGGTGGTTGAGGAAATTTCTTGCCATTCACAGACCTGTAAATATATGCTGAAGTTAAGATCTGTAGTCTCTAATTCTCCCTGTGCAACTTCTATCCCGCCCCTCAAAGTTCATTTTATCATCAGAGTGAAGTTACATTGTCTGTTGTGCATGTCGTTAGAAGCAAGGGGCTTATATACAGCTATATCGACACTCTTTTGTCTTCCACGATTGCATTTTATTGCCTTTCATGCTGGCTATCTGGAATTTCTTCCAGGACATTTCAAATTATATTAACTAAGTCCTACTCCCATTTGTTGATCAAGTTTGATCAACAAACATGACACCAGCTAAGTGGTGGTTGTATTTGGGTAATACCTTGAAATAGCCTGAGAGAAATTCCAGGAGATTATTCTTTACTCACAAGTAGAAATTGTGTGTATGTGTACATTTGTGTTCACAGAACCTGAGTCTACTCCTGGAAAAAAAAAAAAAAAAAAAGTCAGCATATAAGCAGTACTGACCCTTAACATCGGAAATGAATACCTGTTTGCCTTAGTTAAAATGGGAACACCATCATAAATCCATTTTTAACCCAATGATTGATAAGCAGGTATATCCTAGTATAATGGAAAATGTGAAGGTTTTTGCTTGATTCCATCTGCATTTAAACATACACTTGTTGTGGGGGGTGTTTCCAGATTTGCTGGGGAGGCAAGAAGGCAGGTAGTGCCTGCCTCCTTTTCCAGGTGTAGGAAATGTGGTAGAGGGAATTTGGAGGAAACTGTGCCGTGACAGCTTCACAAACCATAAAATCATTTTTGTTTGTTTCAGTGTGAAAAGAACTGAAACAAAAAGCAGCATCACGAGCAAATCACAGACCAGAAGAGACACTGTGGAAACATCTAGTAACTCAGTGATTGCAGAGATAGCAAGGAGGAGGAATGATGGTCAGGCTTCCTCCAGTCCCGCATCAGAATCCACGGGACTAGCAAAGGATTACATAAAGGCAGCTGAGAGCCACTGGGGGCTTCCTGTTCAAAAGCTGGAAAAAGTTAATCAGACCCAGCCAGAAGTCACTAGTGGCCAGCAAAAACCTCATCCTGGGGAGCGGTTAAAGACAGGGCTTCTAAGTGGGAGCCCTGTCTGTAGCTGTGAGTCAGCATCACCAGGTCCAAAACAAAGTCCACGAGTGGCCAAAACCCAACAGAAACGCAGGAACTGCAGCTCTGCGGAAGACTTCGACCACCGCAAGAGAGTTTCTCTTGGAAGTGATCGATTAGTCCCAAGAGAAATAATAGTGGAAAAAAGCAAAGCTGTCAGGGTTTTGCCAGCTTCAGAGTTGTCAGATCCAGGGTTACTTTTGAAACAAAATTTGGCAAACACCACGTCTAAGGAAGAGTTGCATGTTTTGGAAAGTCTCTCCTCCAGACATCTTATGAAAAATAACCCAGGGCAGGCACAGCAAACCGGCTCAGCCACAAACACTGAAAGATTATCTACAATTCAGAACAGCCCAACCAAGAAAAGAAAGAAATACGAAAGAGTCCATTAACACCAAAGAGGATTGTACCGTTGGAGTTGAGGACATAGTGGCCAGACCTGTGACAAGAGAGCTGCGTGTATAGATGCCGGGATTTTAGAGGAATTAATTAGAATGATTACATAGGAAGTGTGTTATCTGTGTTATGGCTATGGTTTGTTTTCAAAGCTTCAAACCAGGAGGCTATATGCTTGTTCTAACAGCGTTGCTTCTTTATCATTATATTTTATGACTGTCTTCAGAGAATTAGTATAATGACAAAGAGCCATCCCCCTTGTCAGGGAGGAGACTGTGCAAGGACTGTATGAAGAAACTGATCATGAGCCCCTTCTTGGCACATCACTGTGCAGAGCACACAATGGACCATGCAAAGACAGTGCCACTCACCTCCAGGGATACAATCCATCCTCCTGCTCCTCAGCCTGAGTAGGAGGGCAGTGGAGCAACAGGCTGGTGGTTCTTAGCGTGTGGTCCTGGACCAGCTTGGCTGTCTGGAAATGTGCTAGAAATGTGGTTATTGGGCCCTGCCCCATGCTGAGTAACTACCTTTGGGTGATTCTGAAACATGCTTGAGTTTGAGAACCACTGGACTAATAGAACGCTCCCTGGTGCTTCGTCCAACCTGGCTGCCATGGCCTCCAGCTCACCAGTTGGGGCCAGATGTGCACATGCATCCCCTCGGACTCCCTCAAACTTGTAAAACGCTTGGGTTTGGTGTATGGGCCACTCTCTTCCCGAGTTCTACTGTATGGTAGCCATGGCATCCACGAAGGTGTTACCCTTATAATTGTTGAAGTTGATGGGCGATTCTGCCCAACTTTAGGGAAGACATCAGAGAGGCTCGTTGTTGCCTGTAGCTCAAGCATGGCCCAGTCCCTGCTCTTGCGCCCACCTCCAGGATTTTGGTTTGGGGCAGACTAGAACCTAATGGGAACTCAGTTAACAGTTTCCAGTTTCCCAGTTGGAAGGCTTCACAGGCAGTTCAAATTTCAAGACAGAGCCTTCCCTTTACAATGTCACCCACTGTCTCCAGTGGGCTTGCTGAAATGTCACATAGTGAATTATAGCAATGACTTATTTTGGATGGACACCTGCTAAAAATTTCCAATAACCGAATTTCATTCTAAAATAGGAAAGAAACAATATTCAAGGTCTATTCATTCAATACATCTTTTTTTTCTGTTCAACATGGGGTGGTCCTTTGAAATAGCACCTCCCCTAAGTAATAAGGAAAACCAAGTATATTCCCTAAAGTGTTGAAGTTAGCAGAAAAATCACCTAGAAAAGCCCAACAAAATGAAGAGAATACAGAAACAGGCATAGTATAGGTTCATGCTTGAGATGGATTAGTAGTTTATTCCATCTCGTTCTGTCCTTCCCCACACCTCCTGTCCCCACTTGTTGAGACTCCGTAAGACTCATGAAGCAGCAGCCATATTTCATGGCAACATTTTGGATCAGGAAATTCCATCTTGGTCACCAAGTTTGACTGTGGTGGTAGATACTGTTACTCTGATATTCCAAACCCTGCCTAAAAACCTGTTCCTATCCCATGATCCCAGCCTAACCAACACTACTTGAAATGGCCCTGCCTACTGGTGTCCTGTCTTCTTCCCTCTTGGCTTTTTTCCTACTCCCAGCAGAACCCAGTCAAGGGATTCTGTAGAAGAGGGAGCCCAACAGAATACTAGCTTCAATGGAGCTGACTCTGCTTATGCAATAGGGTTGGGCTGCACAGAGTTGAAACCCCCTGAGTACTGGGTAGAATGTGCATTTCCATGGCCCACCGTAGGCCTCTCTCTTAGAGCAAACAGTATTCTAGGTGTGCTCTTTATTGAACACAGGACCACAGTGTATCATTGAATCTTCTTAAACAGAAGCAATTAGAATGATTTATATATAGGGAGGGCACAAGTAATAAATAACCCAGGGGATAGACCAAGAAGCAGCTCTCTGGAAAAGAGTCTGGAATTAAAAAGACAGCTGTACTAGAACAATACCCACTGCCTGCTCCAGAACTAGGGGGGAGATATTTGAGCTGGAGCCGCCAGAGAAAATTTCTATTGAGAAGTTTTTATTTGTTTGTTTTGTTGGGTTTTTTTGTTGTTGTTTTTGTTTTATTCTAATCTTTCCCTGAAGTATCACTCTGGTATTGAGAAATTTTTATTTCATTAGCTAACCTGGGCTTGGTGGTTAAGGCTAATACTTGTACTTAGAATGATTCTCTGTCAAGAAAAGTCTTGACTTTAGAGTTTGTTATATTTGGGGATATAACAATTACTGTGATCTAAGAGAGAAAATAGCACCTCCGGTTGTAGATAGCTGTGGTTTTCCTCACAGCCCTCACATCCCTTCATGTAAAAGGGATTTTAACAGGATTTACAGAGGGAATGGCTCTCAGTTCCCACACTGTGACATGTGCTTGAGGAATTTTGCCTTTAAGCATTTTTCTTGCCCGTGGTTGAAACACCCCTGGATCTCTTGTTATTTGAGTGGTTGCGTGATTCTTTGGATATTTGGAAGTACAAAGGGGTAAATGGATGCCAGGGGATTTTTGTTGTTGTGGCTTATTAGGTAGGATATGAAGAGTTCTCACTGTTGGGAATGGTATGTGTTTTGACATTCTTAATCATCTTCATAATTTGGCATCTGAAAGTCTGAAACAGTGTCAGTATTCTTCATCAAAAAGAACAAGTTCTTCAACCACTTACCTAGTACCCCAAATTATATTCAAGTCCCTGTGACTCCAGTGCTTGGAGAAGTCATTCATCTGATTCAATTAATGTTACACTTTGAATTTCCTAACTTTCTCAGCGGCATGGATTCTAAGCCACTTCCATGTGCTTTCAGGTGGCATCTTAATAGATTGGTGTTGAGGTTATTTTAATGTCCATAAACAAGAAAGGTCTGGAAACAATCTGTATTATTTTTCTTTCACATTTTCTTATCTTTGCCACTGGAGGTTAACTGTCATCCAGATATGAATATGAATTGTGAAATGCAAAGGAGCAAACATTTGGGGGTATGGGAGTAAGTGCTGCAGTTCTTTTTTTCACTGATTTTAATACTATAGAAGTGTATTTCATTTTATAAAAAGCAAGAATCATAAAAACCCTCTGTAAATTGATTTATGGAGAATATAGCTTATCTCCGAAGTATCTCAAGATATATCTTGGGGACCACAATGCGATCACAGTGTTAATTGTTTGCTGTTGGTGTCATGTTTGGATTTTAGCATGGATTGTTATGCATATCAGTGGCCTTTGATTTCAGAAAGAGCTTAGCGAGGGCAGAACACATAAGGAAAGGAAACCTCTGCTCAAGGGAATGACCTGGGATCACAATGTCGCCATTCCCAATTTCCTTGAATTCCTTCTTGGCAGGCCCTACTGTAATATTTCCACAAAACTGTAATGAGTGGCCCTTCTTTGGAGGTAACAGATGCCTTTCCTAAGAACTCAAAATTCTCTTCAGCGTGCTGTGACTTGAATATGGAAATCATTTTAATTTCTTCTTTTCTCTTATGAGGAAATTTCCATGCTTGGTTTGTCAAGAGAGTTCATTCCTTATTATTGAAACATTAATGAATTGAAACACGTTGAAGCAAGTAAAAAATCAAAATTAGGTTGGTTTATTTTAAATAGTTAAAAGTCTTCCTTAGTACAAAATAAATTAAGCATTGTAAAATGAAGTTAATTCAGGTAATTACTCAGTACAGAAATCTAATCATATATATCATTGGTATTGCAATTTAAGGGTATAATTAAATTCTCAGAAATCTGCAGGACTTCCTCTAATTTGGTTTCTCTATTTATTTAACAAGACAGGGAACAAATATGTGTCAATGTGCAGCTTAACAGAGGGGACTTGAATGGATAAAATTATCTTTAATAATCTAGAGCTACCCAGTACTGGGCTTGAATTTAATCATATTCACATGTTTCCTTTGGCAGCATAATATTACCATACACCATATTACCTTATAATTGCCATTACAATTCCTTATCAAAGATGTTAATTCTTTGCTTGAGCAAAAAATCAGTAAACCATATGTCTGACCCTAAAGTATTTGATCAGGGAACAGAAGGTGTGAATTGGACAGATTCCCCTAATAACTTTCTTCAATCAAGTTAGAAAACCAAAAGCTATGTAAGTCACCAGGAGAGCTCTTTTTCCCTTATCTTCTCATTTGTTTTGTTTTCAACTGTTTAAATAGTTCAAGTGGTTGTGCATGCCTAGGGGATGAAACTTACGTAGTAGAAACGTACTGTTTTATGAATAAAGAGTAAAATTGTTTTTAAAAATTAGTGTGTATCACTTCTGTTCTTCAAAAATAAGTGAATTAACCCCAAGAAATACATATTCAAAAATGCCCTTTTCTAGACAGCTATTTTAAATTATGCTCTATTTATAAGAAGTGTTTGTGTTTTATTTGTTGAAATAATTCTGCAGTTTTGAATACTATGTAAAATAATCAGAGGAGCTTTCCATTTAACCATTGGCCTTCAGGATGTAAGTATTGAAAACTCAGCATGAAGCCTTTGGATTAAATTGACCCATCAGTTATTGGGGTGCTCCTTACAGTGTGGACTTGCTCCCAATTCTGCTCCCAGCTATGAGCTAAGATAGACGTCTTTGGCAGGATTAAACTATGGCACTTTGACTCCTTTCCAAGGATCTTGACATTCCCCAAGTAGATTCATTTGTATTTTCCAAGTGAATCTACTCTTTACTCAGAACTGATGAAGTCCTGGGCTGACTGTCTACACTGCCTTTTATTTCAGTACTGCAGGTTTCTCTAGTTTTGTACATAACTTTTCAGAAGGAGTTCAGTCAGGTTGGAATAATACATTTGAATAGCTGTGCGTGCAATGCTGAGAACCTCTGCAGTCGATGAGGCGTAGCTCATTTCTTCTTAGTGTTTTGGTCATGGTGGTCCGCCATCTGGCCGAACCCACAGGAAAGACGCCCTGCCCTGGACATTGGGGCTGGGCCTGGGATCTGGGGACTGCCCAACAGCATGGGGCTGCAAGCTGCAATCCGTGGGTCCAGGCTGCTGCTTTGCCACTAGTTGGTTTTACATGTTTTGGTACAAGTCATGTAACCACCCAGGCCTCAGTTTCTTCATCTGTCAAATAAAATTATCTCTAATATTTTAAGTGCCAAACATAGCTTTTAGTGCATCGGGATGAACATTCCCATCCCATGTATTAATGTCTCCATCTGTTTGAAAATGGTTCCCTACACTGGCCACCTACTGGGGTCACCTGGATAGCTCCTAGTTCAGTCAGAATCCCTGAGGTTTGGCCTGGGCGTTGGTATTTTTAAAGCTCGTCAAATGATGATTCTCAGGAGACACCATAGTTAAGAACTATTGTTTAAAAATGTGGTGTGTGCGTGTAAATAGCAGATGTTAAAAGAGGGTCCGCTGAGTATTCTTTAGAAGAGGGGCTTTCTGCAAATCAGGAGTGTACCTACTTCCAAGTAAATGAGTAGGAATGGCTTCGGGGACAAGGTGTCAGTCGACAGTCATACATTTTAATCTTACAAAGAGATGTGTTTTGTTTTCTTCTGAAGGCCCCTCTGCATTGGTTCTGCTGCTTTAGAACCTACACATCCCAACACACCCCTCATCTTTGCCAACATTGAGAAATTGTTACCCTCGTTCAGAAGATGGGTCTTTAAAGCACCTAAATAATTGTCTGAAATTTTTACATAAACCTCTGGGGTTTGCCTTTGATCATGATCATTAATATCATTAATAGGCTCTCTAAAAGTGCGTGTGAATCTCAAGTTAGCATTTGGCAGGGCAGTGGAAGAATGAACGCTTTTAAAATAGTTTGGCTCAGAAAGTGCATCTGAAATAACCCTGTGGGAAAATCAGGAGAATTTCTCATCCTCCAAAGGATTACCTAGGATGAGATACTGACCTTGTATTTTAAGTTCAGTTGCATTTCTTAAAACCTCATTCATTACCCAGCCTGATTTATTTTAGGAGTGAAGTAGGCTGTGGGAGGGGGCTATATAATGATGTATGGTTTTTATGTTTGCTTTTTGTTTTCTGCACAGTTCCCAAAAGATTTTTATCATAACGTGTGTATATATGTCTTAAAAAAAAAAAAAAAACAGCTTCTTCACAAGATTTACTATGGCTTTTCTCTCAGAAATTAGAGCTGAAGAATTCTCTCCTCTTCAGGCTCTAAGGCGATCAAACCCCAGAAGGCTGAGTGTGTGCGGGGTGAGCAGAGCGCTGACCTCTGCCAGGGGAGAGGTCAGTTCAGCACACAAGACTCAAAAGGGAGGAAGAAAAAGCAACTCCTCAGCAGGGAGTTTGACTTGCTTTAGGGCAGAAGAGCTTTTATAAATGAGTTCCCAGTCTCCCACGCCCTCTCGCTTGCACTTCTGTTACCAGTCCTGTTCTGCGCTTAGACACACACACACACACACACAGACACATGCACACTCCCACCTCATTTCCACTCGTTGCTTCACATCCCTCTCTCCACCTGCCCCAGGAACAGTGGAGAGACTGACAGACCCTGCTCCAGAGGAGGCAGGTGATGGATTGACTGGGAATTTTTCTAGGCCCAGCAGCTCCCAAGGCCTTTTCAGTTCCTCCTTCACACGCTTGACTGGTGAGAAGAACGCAAAAGGCTCTTTCCCAAACCCAGGGTGGGTGCCTGGGAAGATGAATACCAGCGCATCCATTCCTGTTGTCAGAGGGAGAGGTGGAATGGTAAATCAGGGCAGCCCTCAGCCAGGAGGTGGGAGACTGGGCTGGGTGTTTGGGATGTGTCCCAGGAGGAGGAGCCTAGAGGGACCTTCCTGTCACAGCACTGGAGAAGGACCTTGTGAAGCAGCAACACTGCTGTATTCATATATTCTCCTTAAAATGCTGCCCCAGTGAGCCTTGTCCCAGTGCCCTACTGCTTAGCACGTGGACTGTCTGCCTGTGGCAGAGCCTGGGGCATCTAGAAAAGACTATTCTCAGGTGGCTCTCCCATGAAAATGCCCCATCAATCTGAAGGCACTTGTAGGCAGCAGAGTTTTCTACCCCAGAGGTGTTGGGGATCTGGGTTGCTTTGGGGTTCTTGTTTTGATACCAACAAGCATCTTCACCAGGAATAACCTTCTAGATTTCAATAAAATCACAAGCTCAAAGACAAGGAGTCTCTGCGTCCATCTGTGAATTTTATACAGCAAATTGTCCTTGTTTTCCCTTGAAGATAGCATTTCCTGGTACCGGTTTAACCAAATCTCATGTTCTTCTGGGCTCCAGTTGTAGAAACAACTTTGGCTCTTGTTTTGCATGTCTGTCAAGTCTAATTCCAGGTCCTGATAATGTTTTAGAAAAGCTCACTGAACTTAAGAGAAACCTTCATTTTCTGCTACCAGCTGTGCATGTCTGCCTAAGCCACCTGCCTTGCCCTCCATGCAAGGGCAATCCTAGCAGAGAGATGGTGGGAAAGAAACTTTGGCTTCACATTTAGCCCCTTCTCAGTGCCAAAGAAATGGCCACTGTGCAGTGACGACAGCCAAGAAGGGAACTTCCTTGTAGGGGAAGCCTCTGAAGAAGCCGGGGGTGGGAATACAAAGTATTTCCGAAATGCCCAACCCACTGAAAACCTCCAGAAAATGGAAGTCCAACATTATCTCGTTTCATAAGGAGAGAAGACTATCTCAAGACTTGAGTGTCCTGGAGTCCTCCAAGGCCAGGTATCTAAGCTTACCTCATTTGGCATGAATTTTATAAAATAGGGGTTTCGAGGGATATAGAGGAAAAAACTGTGTTCTATTCTCATTATTCGCAGGCTGTAGACAGCTGTCGACACTCAGACCACACACTGTTGTAGACTTCAATTAGGCACCACGTTTTGTGCAGTCCTATAGTTCATTCTTGTCTTGAATGAGCTTTTCTTTCTCCTACACTGGAAGCCGGCTCTGAATTGATCAGGGAAAAAGCTAACAACGATTTGTATAGTCACAACCAAATATAACACCTACAAGTGACAGAGCCTGGTACGATCCTTTTTAGAAGAAGCCTATGTTCATTTTCTATCCCTGTGTAACAAATTACCGTAAATCGAGAGACTTAAGACAACATAAGTTTATTATCTCACAGTTTTCGACACTTCTTAGCTGGGTCCTCTGCTCAGGGTCTCATAGGCTGAAATCAGGGCTTCAGCCAGGCTGCATCCTCATCCGGATGCTCAACCAGGGAAAGGTCCGCTGCCAAGCTCCCTTGTTGGCAGAATTCAGTTCCTTACATTTGTAGGACTAAGATCCGCATTGTCCCGCTGGCTGTTGGCAGGGGACCTCCTAGAAGCCATTTCGCGGGTCCTTGCCACGTGACCCCATCCATTTCGTCAATGGAGAAGCCTTGGCATCGAATCACTTTCGTGCTTTGAATCTCTGACTTCTTCTGTGACCAGCCAGAGAAACCTCTCTGCTTTTAAAAACCTCCTGTAATTAGGCCAGCCCCACCTGGATAATCTGTATTTGAAGGCTAACAGATTTGAGACTCTAATGACATCTGCAAAATCCCTTCACAGCAGTACCAGGATTAGTGTTTGATTGAATAACCAGGGGCCAGGGACCTTTGGGAGCCATCATGGAGTCCTGCCTACGACCACATCCAACAGCACTTAGCTCTTCTCTGACGGGCCCAGTTTAATGGAGCAATGGTGAGAAAGTAGAGTGTCAGTTGGAATCTAGCTGAATTCCTTAATCTTTTGATGGTTGCTTAGAGCAAATACTGAAAGCAGTGTTCTTTCCTTTTCCTGTAGCCCTTTTCATGAATACTGCAGTGGCACACATTTATTGTCACCATGACAGATGAGGAAACTGAGGCACAAAGAACTTTGGAAACTTTCCCAAGTTAGTAAATGGCAGTGCCTAGAATCCAGATCTGGCAAACCTCAAAGCCCAGAAACTGTGTTGTTAGTACACACAGGTGGAAAATTTCAAACCGGGAGCTGGGAGGAAGAGCTGCGATTGGAACCAAAGAAGTCTTACTCCAGAATGCATGCTCTTGACCACTAAGCACACAGCCCGGCTTTGCACACCAAGAAGGTGAAAGTAACAGTCTAGTGAAGGAAGGATCAGGCCCACGTGGAGGCTGAACGCTCTGCAGGAGATGTTCACGACCTCTTTTGTAACTGCACTGCAGCCAACACTGTCCCACTGAGAGCTCACAGGAAGCGCGGAAATGACGGGGCTTGGAGATGGAGAAAGCCAGAGGTTGTGGTCCCTCCCGGCCCCTTCCCACTCCCTTTTCTTTACTAGAGGCACTTTTTTCCTTAGTCTGTTGCAAACCTGTATGGCGTGTCACATTTGCGCTCTTCCTTTCTGCTTTATGCCTTGAATTATTTAAAAATTCTTCCAAAATAACATCACTGCAAAGCCAGAGAGAGCCCCAGAGGGCATCTGATTGTTCATGTCCTGAACTTGGGGGGTTTATGTTTCTGTCTTGGGGATGGGGTTTTTCCAAGTCACTCAGTGTGGGTGCCTGGGCGCAGAGGAAACTTCTACACAGAATGTACTTCTGGCCTACCCTGACACGACAAACAGGTTAAGGATGACTTGTGGGAGATTTTGCTAATCCATCAGTGCTGGGTGGGGCAGAGTGTGGAGGTGTAGCCTTTTGGGGATGTCAGGTGGAGGAAGCAGAGCTGCCCACAGGCAGTTCCAGGAACTGTCAGGTGTGTCTGAACTGGCCCAACCGCACACTAGACGTGGCGAACTTCATCACATTCAAGCGATCTGGATTTTAGTCCTGTTAAATGCTCAGGTGTTTTTGTGGTGATAACCAGGAAGGAAGCTGCCAGGGGGAGTGGGAGTGGTTAGGGAACATGGGATGAGGCCTAATGGTAATTGCAATCACTTAACACCGGCCAAGACCCTGGCACCTGCATCTCAGACCCGGTGAGCCAGCAGCGCTGTTCTGAAAACGCCTGTAAAATGTACATGTGTGCACATGTGTGCACACACACAGGGAGCAGTAGGACCTAGTGAGCCTGTTGATTTCCTTTCTGAACCTCTTTTCCTGCGACTCGTTTTAATTCTATGAAGCAAAAACTAAAAGGGAAATCGGAAACTTCCCAAGAACAAAAGAACAACCTACAAAGGAGCAGAGCTGAATCTGCCTGTGATGCAGAAAACACCTACTGCTCCCGGATTTATACAGATGTCACTTTCTAGGCGGAACCAGCTCAGATTGGCGACACTGTCTTAGCAGCCGCCTCCTGTGACCTCCCTTGAGCCTTTGCATCCATTTTTGTGAGGTGCTGATCTCCCAAGGCTCTACCCTTGAAAATCACACTAAGGGCAGGATCCAGGCATAAACCTAGCAAATTCCCAGAAGAGGCAGAAAACACAGCAGCCCAGGAAGCAGGAGCCCCAAGTTCTAGTTCTGGCTATTGCTAACTCTCTGTATAACCTCGGACGAGACCTTGAACCTCTCTGGGCCTCAGTTTCCTCTTCTGGGAAAGAAGTAGGGGTTGGATCCTTTGATGGGTAAGGTCCTTGATTGCATTAACATCCTGTGATAAAGGTATTTCACATGTAACATCTACGATAAAGGTATTTCAACTGCACATATCTCAGCCAGGATGAATTAAAACAGCTTTTCACTCTTCAGGTACAGAACGGAGGGGGCCAACCTGTTTGGTTGCCTGAGTAGTGATTAGGAAGCCAGCTGCAAACTTGTATTTCCCTCCGGGATCACCGATGAGCACCACCAGCCCTGCCAAGAGAGCTTCTCTTTAAAACAAAGCTGTTACTTTCATGTTGCTGGCATCTGCATTTGCTTTCTGGATAACTCAACCCTTGGGTGCCCTGGTGTGGATATTTGCAGTGCGGGTGGGTTGGAGAAGGCAGCAGGCAGGCCTCAATTCAAGGTTCTTACTGGATTTAAGAGCCTTTATTCTCCAGGTTAATTTTCCTGACTTGCATATCACAGGTTAATACTGGACCCAGGCATAATGATACATAATTTGAGACTTGTAAAAGCTGCCTTGGACTTGAAAGAAACACACTCTAAGCCAGGAAGGTTGTGCCCAGCATGCAAGAGCAAGTAATACAGGTAGAATATATGTCCAAAGCAAGAGAGCCGCACCCTTTTGACATGATCTCAGAGGGTGCCGTGCAGGATTTAGGCTCCTCGGCTGCCAGGCAGCGATACCACGGCAGCCCTACAAGCATCACTCCCCCCAACCTGCTCTTAGTTTTATTTTAACAGCCATTGGAAGGCAATGGTTCGCAAACGGAAATTCATTATTTTTAATAGACCCCGAAATACCTCGTGGATTTGAAGTGATGCAACAAGATTGCCCTAATGGTTTCTAAACTTTGTTTTTAAGACTTCAGGGGCCAGAACCGTAGAGAACTGCCTTAGGGCACCCTTCTAGCTCAGATAACCAAGCTGTTTGTTGGCATTGCTGGAGACTGACATACCCTGAGCTGGGTTGTTTAGCTGCTTGTGGGGTGGAAAAAAAATGTTAAGAAAAATAATTGTTGTTTTTGCAAACTATCTATTTAAAAACAGAACCTCAGGAAGCAGATTTCTGTTCCAATGCTTGGATGAATCAGAGCTTACAAAGTATAAATACACATTAGCAGGAGGAGGCTTCCCATAACCCATGTGCTTGTATGTCTTCCCAGACCAGGAACCTCTGAACTCCTGTTTCTCATTCCCAGTAGAGGCAAGAAAGAGACCCACAGTCGAAACGGAAATGGAGCATCGCTCAGCCCAAGTTTCAAAGCCCGATAGGCCTGTAGAACTTTTTTTTTTCCTTTAAAGGCAACTGGGTTTTTGCTGCACATTTGCTCACTTTGGAGCACGAGCACACAGGTGTAAGCCATTTGGAAAGGTGGGAAACCCACGCTCTGGCCCATTTGGCTCCTTGCTACCTAAGAAATATTACAGAATAAGTTAATTTTGACTCACTGACCCCTCAGATCAGCTAATAGGCGTGAAGCACTTAGACCACAACTTGCTCAAGGGGCAGTGTAATTATTTTACTTAAAAATGATGTCAGGTGGCAATTTAGCAACAAACTGGCTTCCAGGCTATTTAATTCAGTTTAACAAGGAGGAAAAACATTATAATTAGTGAAGAGCTGGTACTGTAGCACTTTAGCAGAGTCGCTCCCAATTTTTAGAGTGC